TAATTTATTATTTTCTGAACGTATTTTCAATAATGACATACACTTTACATAATAATAAGGAAATAATGAGGAACTTTAATTGCGAATGCTCCTATTGAGAATTAATAGTCCTCCTGGACATATTAAATATAATAATTGATTTTATTTAGTACATTCGATATCACACGATAAGAATAAAAAGTTTGAATATTCCTAACAACAATGACTGTATCTAAATCGCATTTTTTTATGGAAAAAATTTTCATATTGTTTTCATTTTAAGAGGAATGGAAGCAGATGATTGATATGAGTTGTAAATAAACGTGCAATTATGTCATTGTCTAACGTCAAAGTACTTGGTATCAGAAATCGGAATATGATACTTCGCTGCTATCGAGGCATCAAAAGCGCCGATAAAATCAACGAGGTTCGTTCGCGACTCGAGGCGGAGCGGAGGTGACATAACGGCGACGACATGTACGGTCGAACGATAAGAGTGCTATAATAATCTTACGTAAAGCCGGAAGTGCATCGTCGGTACCGATCGCGAGCGTTTGTATCGCAAACGGAGGCGCGTCTCCGCCCATAGAAAGATAAACGCTGGATAATGCTCATCTCGAGAAATAATTGCCTTCTTAAGCATATTATGTATAATAATTAATTATATTTATGATATTCAATATCACGATGAGATCGATAATTATCGATATCTGTTATTAATAACTGTATCTAAATCGCATCTGCATTTTTTCAGGCGTATACCAATATACTTTTATAAATCTGAAGGCTTTAATCTTGTTCCTCGTTTCACATTACTTACAAATACGATATAAGCAAATACAATGTAAATTGGAAATAAAATCACTGGCTGGAAGTGGCCCATAATTCTCAAGAAGATATGGGTGCCGTTCGCGTAATTAGCAACGAAATGTAATATGTGCTGCAGTAATTAATTTCAAATATTCTCGGTTACACAGAAAAAGAAAGATAGCTTTATTTACACGCGCGCTCTAGGATAGCATCCTCTCAAGCGTTAAAACATTAATATAACAAGAGACGCAAAAGAATAGGGCTCTAACAGCGCGAGAATAATTACAAAATTATTAAAGTAAACAAGAAAAGAGAGAGAGAGAGAGAGAGAGAGAGAAAGAGAGATATTGCTAATAAAATTATCCGTTTATTAGCTGAAATGTGCAGAAGCTGAAGTTGTGTACATAAATGCCCCTCCCCATGTCACATGCCAAACCCGTGAACTAAAATACATGTACACACGCACATGCGAATATAGACCGTGGAAAAACAGTGATCGAACGGGCGTTTATCTTAATGGAAAACGAGAAGCTTCTTCGTCGATCATCAGTTTGGTGTTTTCGAATTCCCGGCATATACTGAAAAACTCTCACGTACCCGTGCCCGTCGTCTATAGCGCGGAAAATCTCCGCGTGCATTTTTATAGATAAACAATCGCGGCTTCGTGCACCTGCGGTCCTGAATTTCGATATTCGTGTATCGTCGATTGTGTAATAGATTAGCAAAGAGACCTTTTTTAAAACTCCTCCCTCTCTCTCTCTCTCTCTCTCTTCTTTTTTCGATTTGAAATAAATTAAGCTAGGATTATACGAACGGATATCGTGACGGAAACTTAGTTGCGAGTTTATAGCAAAGTTGGAATTGATTAAAGCAAGTTCAAGCAAGCGCAGGCGGTTATAAAACACGCGTCGTTCGCGATTTGTATTTGATCGTATGTAATCTATCGATTCCCTTTTAACGCACTCTAAAAGATTCATGAATGCAAAGCTGCAACGTTACTTATGCGCGCGAGCCGTTATATATGTGAATGGATGATTATTTCCGAACGATTGGGCGAAATCTCTGGGTCAACGTTTCTCTCCTCTCCGTTTCGAACGGCGGAATATCATTGAGGGAGGTGAGAAAAAAAAATTGCCGTGCAGAAAGTATCTGTTTGTGTTACTGCGATCGTGGTGGACGATTTCGCGATCGAAGTCCATTCGCATCCGGAGCAAGTGTGATTTTGTAGAAAGGTCCACTTTACGCCGCGCGAATCTCGCGGCACACCTAAGGGACGTCGAAATAAGCACTGCTTCGAAAAACGCTCTCCGTCTCCCGAGAGAAATTCTCGAACGCGGCCCCAGCACTGTACAAAATCATCCCTCCGACTCACCCTGTGACACGCTCCGAATCCGAGTCCGAATTGAGTTCACCCGAGGACACGGGCGGTCGCCCGTAATTACGTTATTTAGGATTCCTCACGGGCCGAGCCTAGTGGAGCGAGAGACGCGACGCGACTAGCCAGGGTAGTCCCGAGAAAGTAAACCACCCCGAGGAAAAGTAGGGTGGCTCGTCCGGCGGCGTGCTCGTTACGCCGTACCCGCCCAACGCCAGAGAGACCGATCTCCTCGACTCTCCGAGAGATATTCGCGATGCCGGCCGATAATCGGCGCGCGATAGCGATCGGACAACACACAGATGAAGATGGGAGAGACAGAAAAACGAAGTAACATATAGATACGGCGAAAGAAAGAGAGAGAGAAAGAAAAAGGAAGCTGCCACCTTCTACACCCCCGAGCTATACTCGCCCGTGTCGAGTGCGTCACGCATCCTCTCGGCGGTATTCCTGGCGCGAGGCGGCGGAGGCTGCTGTGATGCGCGAACGAGGCGAGGCGAGGCGAGGCAATGCGAGGCGAGGCGAGGCGAGGTGAGACAGGAGCCGATCTCCTCCCTCTCGGGAGCGAGCGAGCGAGCGAGCGACCACCCCTCGGTCGTAGCGCGATCCGTCACGGAGATTCTTCTCTCTCGCGAGTCGCGCGCGTTGCGAGAGTCGGCGACAAGCTGCGCTTCTCCGCCGTGCGTCTCGGCCGGAGGATGCGCGCACGGAATTGAGAGGGCGAGAGAGGGTGAAAGGGTAGGCGGCGGAGGGCTGGGGTGAGAGAAGGCGCTCTCGCACTCACATGTCTGTCGTGGAAATCGGCGCGCGCGCGCGCGCGCGCACGACGTACCCCCGTATCACCGACAACGGGGTACGTGCGAGTACGAGCACCGGTCCGAGACCGTGGTCATCACGCCGACGACGACGACGACGACGACGATGACGACGACGACGACGACGGCGGCGGCGGTGCTTGCTGCTGCTGTTGCCTTCCTCTACTCCTTCCTGTCACTCCAGCTATAACTGCGCTTCTTCTTCGCGCGCGTTACTCGTGCGATCGACGGCGACGTGGGGCCCCGTTAGACTGTCGCTGACCGACTGACGGACGCGTGATCGGTTACATGTATGGTTTAACGCGGCCTCGACACGCTCGGGGCGGGACACGGACGCGCGCGTACCCGCCGAACGTGCTCCGAACGAGATAGAGAAAGAGGAGAGTCGGATAGGGGTGGCGAGATGAACAGGCGAAGGCAAAGATGCGATCGAGTGAGAGAGATCCCGTTTGTAGGATGAGACGGGGAAGGCGAAAGAGGAGGAAGAAAGAGAGAGAAAGGGAAAGGGCATGAGCGAGACGAAGATAAGGGAGGAGAAGAGAGAGGGCGCACGTAAGAGGAGCGTTAAACACAGAGGGATGCTCCACGCGTGAGTCGCGAGCTAGCCGATGGTGCTGGCGCGGGATCGGAGTAAAGACTGACTGTGATGGTAGTGGTGATGATAGTGGTGGTGATGCTGGTGGTAGAGAGAGCGCTTCTCCGACGAGGGAGGTAATTTAACCCCCGCTTTCTCCTTCCTTCCTTCCTTCCTTCCTTCCTTCCCTCCCTTTCCCTCCCCTCCTCTCCCCTCCCCCCACTCTCTCTATCTCTCACGATTTTATTCGGCTGACTTGGTCAAGGGATGCGAGTGAGGGAGAAAAATCGAGATAAGGAGAGAGAAAGCGAGGAGAGAAGTGACTAGAAGAACGAAGAGAGATTGTTTGGAAGAGAGGCTGGAAAGAGAGAAAAAGCAAGATTAGAAATATAGGAGGGGAGGCTCGGAAAAAGGGGGGAGGGCGAGAAGTTAGTGTGCGTGTACATATGCATCTTGATATGCGCTTGTGCAGTTACAAGCAACAGAGATAGGAAACGCGAGAGAAGTAAAGAGGGAACCGACAAACGGCGCTATACTCCGATAACATTCGCGTTGGGACCGCGAGGCGCACTAAGGGCGTGGGCAATCCGCGAGCAAGTAAGCGAGCGAGCGAGCGAGCGAGCGAGCGGGACCAGTGCGAACGACGACCGACTACATTGATTTTGATTTTCGAAGGCGCGCGCATTTGGTACTCTCTGGATCTGCCCATTCATGCCGCTCCCGTCTGCCTAGCAGCTGAGGACATTGGTCCTGTCCTCGTGCGAAAAGAAGAACATTTCGGTGCACGGCGAGTGCAGCTTTAGGATTTCAAGGCTTTAGGATTTCGCGCTTCATCTTGCTTAGAAACACGAGCGCGACTACGTTCAAAATTCGATTTATCAGTCAAATGTGTGATATGTAGCATTAAAACAATGAAAAATGATTATCACTTTTTATTGTATCAAAAAATGTCCGTTCTTTTCATGAGAAGACTGATTACGTCACTAATTCTTTTTCAAATAAAGAAATAGACGGAGTTCGCAGCAATTGCCAAATGTTTATTTGATAATTTTCTTGAAGTTGCACGTTACGATTTAAAATAATAGGGCTCGATACATCGGTCATTCTCATACGGAAAGAACAGATTGAAATCATTCATCTTTATCTCATGATTTATTAGACAGACACATCTAATAGATAGAGACATACAAGTCGCTTGTAACGTCGTACGGCAATGTGACGAGCGTTTAGCGATAGTAATTTATAGTTTTACACAAGGCGGTACCAAATATACGAAGAGAGAACAGATTAAACCTGTATAGTATACGCTTCCTTCCCATCGCATCATAGACTCATCTATGCTCCCGCAGAAGTCAAGCGCTCGCGCGACTGCGTGTGATTGCACGCAATCTGTACGATTGTTCTACTTAGCAATAAATAAATATCCATTAGAGTGAATTTAGATCACATAAAGTATCCAAAGCCGAAGGTCCGTTTTATAGCATCCCAGTAATACCTGTCCCAATTCTCCTTCGTAGAGGGCTCCTCGCTGAAAATCACGACATTTTCGCATGACAATTTTACTTGCCAATAAATTTTAACAGAAAGTCATTGTTCCCAAGCTTACCTCACTGGGACACCGCTCTGCGTTAAATTGACCTCGGTATGATCGTTTTTCTCAGAGATATCGATCGTTACATCGCTGAAATGTCCGGACGGCCACTGTTTACAACGCCATTTTTGGATAATTTTCGTTGGAGTAATCTCTATGAATTCGCCGTGAATATTGCCACCGAAGAGCTCGAATTGACCATTCTTCTTTGGTTCTAGTTTCACCGGGTTCTTCGTGAATGCTTGTACCATCTGTGACAATTAAAAACTCTGTTATAAGTTGGCTAGTGGCTTAGTTTACATTAATAACGCCTATACTGAGACAATAATTCGGTAAAATTATTACCTCGATCGACGAGAGGACGTTGTAAAACTCATCTGCTCTGCATTGAAATTTTACATTTTGCTTAATCGTAGTGGTTGAGATTTTACTTGCTGATTTATTATTGTTCGTTGGCGTCACTGCAGCATTCATTTGCATCTTAAAAGAAAATACAACATTATTAGTTATTTTATATATATTACTTTATATTATAAATATATTACACATACCTTAATATTGAAACCAGAGGTTATATTCGAAATATTTTCTTTTTCTTTATCAGTATCTTTTTTAGGAAGTATCATACCTTTCGTAAACTCTGCAAACAAAAAAGATAAGTTATGTAAAAATGGTATATATATATTTAAATATAACGAGCAATTCAAATCACAAGTTAGAAAATTAACTTTACCTTCTTTTAGAGAAGATACATATTTCTTTAATTTTTCTCTTATTGCATCTTTACCCTTAGTATGTAAGAATTGTTTAACTTTCTCCCCTTCATCTGTACTATCTTTTAATGTAATTTCAATCTACAAATTACAAAATATGTGTTTATTTAAATTCTTGCATTTATGTTATAACATGTTATATTAGTAGTACACTAAATATCTAAGAAAAATAATTACCGATTAAAAAACCAATATTGAAATAAAACAAATAATAGTTTGAATTACATTGCTTAATTTAATATAATTATTTCAATTAAAAATACTTACATCTACTTCACTAATATCATTTTCTTCAGACAGATTAGGAATATTAATTTTACCCTCAATGTCTTTATTGGATGTTTCATCAGATATCCACTTAAGAACGATATTCCATTCATAAAAGAAAATAAGTTTTCCTTTTCTATTATTTGCTACAGCCTCACCTTCACATTTTTCCATTTCTGTTACTTTACATGATACTACAAATTGAATAAGATTTATTAAGGATGTAGATCATTTCAATATAAAGTATACAGAGTGTTTAATTTTAATTATCCCAGACAAATATTTTGAAAAATAGATAAGATACAAAAAAATGTTTTAGATGAAAGTGGAACAGTTTCAAAGAGAATATATTTTGGTCATATTAATTTTTTCTAGGTAAGCGCCAAAAACATATAAACAATATCAAATCTTATTTGGATCGTAAGGCTGGGTCCACAATCTCGCTTTAAGAGGCCCTAAGCCGTAAAGCCGTAAGAAATTGACCAATCACAGAAAATTTTTTTTTTTCGCATTCAACTATGATTGGTCAATTTCTTACGGCTTTATGGCCTCTTAAAGCAAGATTGTGTAACCAGCCTAAGAGTTTTAAACTAAAAATTAGTTAAAAACATACAAAGAGAGAGATCACCTTTACTTTTTTAAATGAAATTATACAAATTTTTTACATAATATGATTCTATTAATTATTGTGCACGTAACATACCTTCTCCTCAAAATCGTTCCATCTAAAATATTTTTTTATGTCACATTTTTCAAGGTACTTGTCTGAGGCATTTAAAATGAGATACTCTGTATATACTTTTCCCAAAATTTTTAATTTATAAATGCTTGTTACTAACCTCCTTCTCCCTCAATTTTGAAATTTATAAGAAGTTCTTTCAACTTTTCTTGTGACCACACACAAGCATTTTTCTCCGTCCTACAGAACAATTTTGATGCATTAAAAAGTATAAAAAGAATATCGATATTATGAGAAACAATCAAATGCCGATATACATTATTAGGATCGAATGGTGGACTTAAAGACATCCCAACTAGCATGATTATGTGGAGCAACGTACCAATGCCAGTTATTAACATTAGTTGCGTCAGGTCTCTCTTCCACAATCCAGCGTGGGTCGCCTTCACCCCATTTTGCCATGCTTCCAAGTGGTTGTCGGGGATATAACAATAACGTTCTGAGCCAAGCACACTGGGGAGGTGGAGCTTAAAGCAGATTTCCAATTCGCAGAGTCAGTGGAGGTAACGAGACCGCTGAGCTAACCTTCTAGAAAGTCTTCTTTCTAGAACAGCAACTGGAACTCGCCTGCGTAACATAACCTATGTTTTAAACGGTAAATCATCACGCCGAGGAGCGCCCGTTAATGAACGGGATCCTTCGGGATTTTTGTCGGCATACACGCATTACTTATACCTTATACTTACGAGTCGTCCTACAGCGGTTAACAAACGTTCCGAGTTTAACGTTCGACCGTGTTTTTCGTGACGGCTCGCTCGTGAAATGCAAGTGTTCCGTTTGCGCTTACGAGGTGATGCTTCGCGCAGCGGTTTATCGTGGGACGTCGACAGAACCCGCTGTCAAAGTCAACAATGCCGATTAATAATACCGATTCGCTCGCGAATCACCACGGAATCTCGAGACTGCCGTGAAACGAATCTGACGCTGACCGACTTGGCGTGCGGGCCGCGGAGCATGCTCGAGCTGTTCTGGAAACTTCGACTTCAACTGGAATTGACACCGAGGTGGCGCACTCACGCGCGATTTCCAGTCACGATGCTGCAAATGGCGGAATTTGTCCGCGGTAGCATATTATTAATTTGCGAACTTTAATTATTAGAATAAACCTCCTGTATACAACAAAAAAACGTTTTTTTTTTTTAAATTTGGATCATAAAACGTTTTTTATATCTAAAAAACAATTTAAAGAGATCTTATGTCACAATTTTAGACTTTTGCGTTGTTCGGATAATTTTTGATCGAAGCGGACTTAGGTTTTAGCTTAAATATTTTATAGTGAATTTTTATGTATTGTATACATATTTAATTTTACAAATCGCGCGCCAAAATCTTTTTTTAATCTTGAAATGTAATAATTAATGAGACGAGCAAAACTAGAATAGTAATATCGCATATATTAAATTGATAAGTAATAATTTTTTGTGCTAATTCTTTCTTTTAAATAACGATTATATTTAATATCTTTTTGATAATAATCTTAAAATACACTTATTACAAATTTCATAAGAAAAACTCATCGATGCAGTGTACTCAAAACAAGAATTTTATATTTTCTGTTGAAAAATATTATAAAATTGATCAACGAAGTAAATTTGTGTAATAAGAAAATTAAATTTGTTTTAATTTAATAATTTTAATTGAAATATTAATTTACTTAGATTCAGAATATGTTTTAAATAAATTTGATGCTTAATTGTGATGAACTTGTGATAGATATACATGAATTCTTTAAATATTTGAGACAAATAATTATATTATTTGCATACAATATGTATTTTTTTATGTGTAAATTATCTGTATGAGTCTCCACAATTAAACTAGTATGTAATGTTTATATAAAAGCAAAATATAGAACGAATTAAAATAAAAATAATATTGTGGTTCTCTCCAAGAATAAATCAAATACATACATAAAATAAACTATATTTGATTTATTTATGGAGCCACAGAATTTTTTTATTTTAATTTTTATTCTACGTGTTTTCTATATTGTTAGAACATTTATGGGACGTTCTCAATTCCCAGTCTTTGCGCCTCCGAAGTTTCAATTCAGATTGGAACTGGGATTGGCTTCTCAAAATTATATCTAATAAAAATAAATAATAATGTTGTATAGAGTCTTGAGGTTTAAAATCGTTAACATCGTGGCTGCTTGCAGCGAAACGTTTGCAGGAGATCAGATATCAAAGAGAACGAGAGGAGAAAGGTTTTATTATATTTTTTCGTCAAATTATTTATTACACATTACAGATAAAATCGTGGTTGTCACGGTCACGGCGAACGTTTCGCTACATTGTTTTATCTTGATCTTTCTGAACAAAAAAATCATCGTTTTTATGTCACTCAAGCGTGTACAATACTGGTCCTACTAATATATTCGACAAGTCCACGAATGGATCACGGTTATATTTGTCGCGTCTATCTGGGCCGGTTCCACCAATGTATAATTAACTTCTCAATTAACTCTTTATCTTTTTCTAATTCTAAAAATTCGGAAAAGATAAAGAGTTAATTGAGAATCGAGATTTAAGTTAATCTTACATAACTGGAATCAGACCTATAAAGAGCAGAACTCTGAAATTATTATTATATATAATATATAAATATATCGAATTTCATCAATAAAAAAATATTTGTTTTTTCTTGTAGTATAAATATCTATACATAATCTTTTATTTGCCTCTTGACCCGCAAAGTCCAAGATATTCTTTGGTCCTTTACAGAAAACGTTTATAGAAATCGCCGATTCCTGTTCAAGAATATATATTTAATCGATCCTCTTTTAATGTGCTAAAGATCGGTACTTAATTATAAAAAAAACAGTGAGGACACTAATATTTGTAACCCTCTTGCGCCGGTCCTGGAGCGGGATAAGTAGCGGTTCCTTCGTATCGTATCATCGGCCGATATCCGTTCTGATCGGCGATATAATCAACGATCTGAGTCCTACCATCCGGCAGTAGCACGTGATAAGTCCCCGTGGCCTCCATGTCCTTCCTCATCTCGCGATGCCCAAAGTCCAGACCTGCCGCCGCGTCCTGAACCTCGTACGAAAACTCATAGTTCGCCGGATCCTGATCGGTTTATTTTACGATTAGAACGACACGTTTATTAATAGTCAGACTAAGAGATCGATTATGTATTTCGAAACGAGGTAAAAATTACAAAACTGAACAAATCTAGGTACTGGCTAATGAAATTATAAATATTCTAGTAAATTTGCTCACTTTTATAATTTTCACCTCATTTTAAAATACACAATCGATCCTCAGAAAAGTGTTACAAGACGTAAGCTTCACTTGGCATTTGCAATACGAGCATCTACGGAAAGAATGGTTTTCTAAGAAAAGTATTTAAAAATTTGGTCATGTACAGATCTGAAAATAATTTTGTTAGACTTCTAAAATAATTATATAGGACGTTCAAATTGATTGCTAAAATGTCAAAACTTTTTGCAGTATTATACTCATCGTGTTTGAGTTTCTTATATACATAATTATTTTGATGATTCAAAGTTTTTAGATCCGCATCTATTTAAATTTTTAAATACCTCAGCAAAATTATTCTTTCCGTGTCTTCGTTTAACATTTTATAAACAACAAGGCCGTACTTAACAAAAAAAAACAGCTTTGCAACTGTTGTTGCAAAAAATCTTTAATGAATGATTTTTCCTTTAAATCTTTACTAGATCTAAATTTATAAACCAATCATATCATATTAAAGAATTTTACAACAGTTGTAAAATTTTTTTATTAAATTTTCTTTTTCTACTAAATTCTACTAAATTTTCTTTTTCTACTAATTTAGCTAATGGCTGCGCTCAACAGACTCAACAGTTGAATAAGCGCTCACTGTTATTGGTGTTCTGGGTTATTCTTCTAGATCATCCAATCAAACTTTTAGATCTAGAAGACTACAAAGGTTGACTTCTATACTTAGATCTTGTGAAAGACTGAGTGTATTGAGGCCTTATTTAAGATTTCTTTAAATTTATCTTCAGATGCTCTACAAATTATTTTATTGGCTACTGAAAATGAACTTAAAATAAAACATTAAATATAAAACCTAACCATGAATACGGGTATCATATCAAATAAACCAATCATATTAAAGAATCACTGAGATGAGCATTTATGAGATCAATTTGACAAGTGTCATATTGACAAGTGTTGCCAAAGAGAACGTATCCAAGAATCACATATCGAAGTCACTTTCGGAAATGAAGTCTACCTCGATGATTACCCAGCGGGGATCTCTAATGATTAAGTCATCTTATCTAGTCTAAGTAGATCTCTAATGATTAAGTCATTACCATCTAATCTAAATTTCTATTTTATTTCTTTTTTCTCGAAGGGGAGGGGTATGTATATTACATATAATAAATACATACTTACACCGGCCCAATCGTCCGGATGACCGGTCCCGCCTCCTCCTCCTCCTCCTCCTCCTCCAGTACGAGGACCAGGTGGAAGATAGGCCGGACCTTGCGGTTCGTTCCGAACTCCTACCAGGAACATCGCTAATAGTGCCGCCTGTGCGAAAGAAGGACACGGAAACTTGTACACGTATCGATGAAGAAGAGATTTCGATATTTCAACAAATGAATTAGAAAACGATCTTATACGCATCATTCGATGTAATAATATTCTATACTAGATCTAAATGATAAATAAACAATTTAGCTATGATTAATATTATATTACGATAAAGAGATGCTTTTTTACTACAAGAAGAAAAGTTAATTAACATTTTATCTTGTTTGTCAATTTGCACCACAAAATCTTCCACAGAATTTTGATGAAAAATTCTACAGAATGCTTCCGCGAAGCATTTGTATACCAACCTTTCGGATCATTAGAAATTCGATACAATTGTACGATCGTTCGCGAAACTGAGATGGTTCATCTTGACAGCCATGGTTTTATAGCGCCCAATTCAATCCTGACGGAACGATGATTGGAGTACGCAATATTCGTTATTCGGGGAGTTTTTTGGTGCGATCGCATAACTGTAATTATGGCTAATAATAAAACCGCAGGTTTCTGCGATGGCTCTAATCATTCGTTCGGTGTAATCGCGATGGTTCCTGATTCTGTGCAATTGTCGAAACACGAAGCCCGTGTCTCTTCCACTTATTAGTTACATTTTTAATAAGTGATTTGTGTAACGATTAAAGGAAGCATTCTTAAAATTGGATTAGCATATAAAAATTCAATGCTATCACTTTAATGCCATTCCGGGTTACTATTATGGCAAATATAAAATTTATTAAATGGACAATCCCGAATTTATTTTTATCGATATTATCGTCAATAGACCAATAGATAGTTTCTTAATTCTATGTGAAAAACGCGCATTTGGCAATATCCTAAGAATTCGTTAGCGGGTTTGCTCGATGGTGATTGCCGTATAATTTGCACGAAAGCCTTACTCAAGAGACAGAGATAACAATAAGTTAGATTAATAGTTCTTCTTTTGATTGCGTCATTGTTCATCCCGTAGGCAGATACGTCGCAAGATTTAAATGACGTGTTGCAAGATATCGTAATAGATATCACGAATCAAATTGCAACAAATGACGCGACTTCAAAATAGCATTTCACTACACATTAATTCACTTAAGGAGGAACGATTTGCGTTAGATTAATTTTTTAATTCGTGCATTGTAGACTCTTTGCTAAAATTCTATTAATTATGAAATTATGAATGAAAGAGAGAAAAAGAGAGAGAGAGAGAGAGAGAGAGTTAAAATTTAAATCATTGACTGTCTTTAACGGAATAGCAGCTTCCCGAGCAGCACAAAGTTTAATCGAGATATAACATAAAACATATTTTTACGAGACACTTTAAAAGACTATTTACGTGTCTTCCAAAGTAAAAATGTGACGACACGTATATATCCATTTTTACCAAAGTAGATTAAATTTACTCTTTATATTTTTCTTACGCTTAGAACTGAAGGAAGATAAAAAGTAAGTTAAGCCGAGAGTTAATCTACGTTGGTAGAAACGAGCATTAAAGATATTTTTGCGAGAACGGTCTAAAGCTTAATCTAAAGTGTACTCTTTGCTTCCTATTTCTTAGCTTCTTATCCTTTTTCTCTCTTTGCGACCATTTTATCAACACTCGTGTTCTTTATCTCTTTCGAGGTTCGTAAACTTTTATCTCGAGCGACTGAAAAAGAAGAAATTGTATACAATTGTGTGTACAAGATACGAAGTATTGAAAAAGGCAAGAGATAAAAAGTAAAAAGAAGCAAAAAACAGGAAGCAAACAGCTCAGTGTAAATTAGAATTTAAAGATGTTTTTATAAACGACTTAGAATTAGAAAGGTCTTACATCCCGTTGTTAAATTTTTGTGTTCTCTGAGTTTGCAACTGTTGTAAGATTCTTTAATTTTTAATATAATTAGTTATATTATTTAATGTGATTAGCCTTGATATCAGTTTCCATCAATGTAAAATTAATTTTAATCTCGATTCAACTAACTCTTTATCTTTTTTTCTAATTAAATAATTTTTAGAATTAGAAAAAGATTAAAGGTTACAGTTGAACCGCAATTTAAATTTACTATTACAATTAGACATTGAAAAAAAAACGAGCATTAGACATTTATATCTAGAGAGGAATCAAAAGCAAAAACTAATTACATGTATTAAAAGACTCTTGTAACAGCCGTTGCATTTTCTGTTGAATGTAACCATTGTCGAAATATTTTAATGTTGTAAAATATACATACAACGAATATTATAACGCGTATGTGATATTTGTTGAATGGGCAGAATAAACTGCGCGTTGTAAAGGAGTTTTTTTGGATGCTACATTGCAAGGCAACGTAAAAACAATTCCGAAAACGTGACTGAATTAAATGCCCGAGGCGAGCGAATTTTGTGAAATTGAGTTTTTCCAGATCCTGTTGACCGTCATCAACACACCGAGAAAGCTTTTAATATCTATGTTTTATTAGACTCAATTTTAGATTATTTAATTTTTTCGATTGACAATTTATTATTTATTGTATGCTGATTGAGCAAATGTGTCGCAGTATCTTTTTACTTTCTTTTTACACAAACATAAAACTTTACAAATTGCGTAACGAACTCATTGTAAAGACAATGTATGCAAGCTAAGTAAATTACTTACGATTTGCGATTGCTGTTTGTGTGAAATTCGTGAAGCACGAATAGATAGAGTCGAGTTTGCATTGTCATTTAGCGTTCGTGTCGGTTCGTGATTTTTCGACAAGATCAAAGCGAATTGTTGCAAATGAATAAATTGTATTAGTTTGTGTACAGAAAGCATTACATTGAACAAGTGATAAATCATTCTCGAATAATATAGCATATTCCTGTTTAATATTGTTTTATAATAATTAAGAATGAATAAACTATATTATACGTACATATATTCACTTTTATTTATAAAGAGACTTGTAGGCAATATTTTTTTTCGATCATTATCCTTTCTATAATATGTGTAAATAGAAATATTTTACTCAGGTATACATTTATACAAAATTTATACGTTGTAAATACAGTGACGATACATCCTTTATTATAAAGAATTATAGTTTTTTATTTTAGGTAACTCTGTTCTTTAGATTTTTATTTTTTCAAAACTCAACTTTAATTTACTTTAATACTATTACGAGAAAGTTTCTAATTAGCGTTTCATGATATTTAACATAGTTATTTCTCTATTGGAAATATTTAGAAATAAAATCATAAAATTTTTAGGTTTGTCTTTTAGTTTTTCTAAGAAAATATAATCTCTGTAGTAATATTAAGTTTCCTTACATTCTATAATTTAAGGCTTGTTACTATTAGAGACTGAAATTGAAAGAGAGAGAGAGAGAGAGAGAGAGAGAGAGAAATGCTTTTAAAATCATTAAAACATCATACATGCGTAATATCGTAATGTGTTAGTAATAGGAACAATAATGTATTGTTATGTACTTATAACCGTTATCTGTACCTCACCTGTGCGTGTCCTTGGCGAAGTAAGCCGCGCGCCAACCGTTGAACGCATACCTCAGTCTGCTTCAGTCTACGCTACTGTCGTGCGCGGATGGATTGATGTTTCGTACGGCATCGCGCATTTCACCGGTAATTCTGTCGAATCGAGTACCGTCGAGGATAATATCGTGAGTGACAGTGCGAATGACGAATTTCGGAAGGTAAAAGTCAAATATATGCGTGACCGATTCTTCTCACCGGCGCGCCGGTGCGTTTTGTTACTCCTATTGTCGTTTCGCCAGCACCGCGCATTACCTTTTTTTTGAACTTATTGATAGCAATATGCGCGCGCTTTTATTTTCCTGAAAATTTCACTCGAAGACAGAAATACTTCGGTATACGTTTTCAACATCGCACGTGTTTTTTCGATGATTTTGTCGAATTAGTGCCGTCAGGGGCAACATGAATGAAAATGGCTACATGAACAACGAAATTTTGTGATTACCTAATGGCTGCGCGTTCAGCAGAAAATGCCCAGCTTTGCAACTGTTATAAAATTCTTTAATATGATTGGTTTTGCTCTTAGTTTCTCATTGGACTTAAATGTATAAACCAATCATATTTGAGAATTTTATAACAGTTGCAAACCTGCTTTTCTGCTGAACGCAGCCAATAGTACGTCGTGAAGTGAGCTGCATGCCAACGACCGGCGGAGTATGGCGCTTAATTCAGTCTATACGGTTACTCGCGGACGAACGGACGCGCTTCGCGTACTGCCGTCGTGTTTCCTCGAGAATTCATTTGAATTTGGCTAGCGTCCTTATAACTAAATTTAGCTATTAGGAGTGATAAAATAGGAACAAAGCGATTGTAAACAACGATGTGACGCGAAGTAAACTGCGTCGACAACCAGCGGAGCATAGTTCAGTCCGTATACCGTTGTGCGCAAATGGACGAACGTTTTACGCAACGTCGCGCTTCTCCTCCGCAATTCTGTCGAATTTTCTGCTATGGAAATTATATTAATTTGAACGAAAGTGGCTGTGTAAACAACGAATTTTACGCTTAAGTTGCAAAATCCACTCGTGCGTACGTACGGATTTTTTTAAGATCGTCCGGCGTTAGTCGTGCTGTTATTTTTTCAAATTTTAACGTTAATTAGTGTGCGTGAGATTTTCATTAAAATTTCATACAATTGGTTATTGATGTCTGAGCAACGCCAAAAGTGACATTTGAAATGAGACTAATCGAGAGTGTATATATAATATTTTGCAACCGGACAATGAGGATTCTTGAAAGTGTTGGATAATAGGAGTCACACCAGCGCGAGCGTATCAACATCACGAAGATGAGACATCGAACGGTGAATATTAAACTGAATTTATTCGTCTACTCACGCAACAATTAATTTTCTTCACCTTCATCGATGCGTCGATTTTCCTCGCCGATGCGTCCAATCTTAATTTTTGAACGTTATATAAATCCATTAAGGATGACTCGGGATTGTTCGATATTACTGTGATACAAAGTAAAAGAGAGGGAGAACAATATTATTTAATTACTCTCTTTCCAATTTAGCACAATTTGCGACAAGATATCATTAGAATGTTACGATATAGAGTGTTGAAACGTGAAAATCGTGTGTCTTTGGCTGCTGTCGGATTTGAGAAAATTTTCTACGAATGAATTTATTGCGTTATACATAAGCCTGATTTATATAATGCTTTTTAACTAACGTGCTACTCTTAATAAGATTTTTATTGTATTTATCCAGCGATTTACAGCGGCTAACAAATATCTTAAATGACTATTTTTTGACTATTTTTCTAAAAAAAAAACATTTCCTGAAGAATTTTTCAAAATTATAATTATATTTATATTTTTCTACATATATATAAATTTTAAATTACATGTTTTTAGCTGTTGCTTTCTAATTTGCTAGAAGATTAGCACACTAGTAGAAAAGAGAGCATCGTATAAATCAGGTTTCTATGATATGCAATAAATTTTCAAAGTCCGACTCCAATCAAATGCAATCTATACCATTAAGATAATTCCTAGAACTACTAGAAAGCGAATTTCATGGAACTCATATTCTTTCACATATCTATGTTATGTAAAATAAGAATTTTTTAATTTTCTGCAATAATTTTATTTTCTCTGAAATGATTTATTTTCTCTAATGAGATAAGATATATCTAATGATCTTTAATAACAGCAACATAGTTTGTACTTTTTAAATTAAAAAATATATACTTATAAATTAATATTAAATATTAATTAAATATTCAAACGTTATATTTTTTAATTTGCCATAATTTTTGTAAGCTATCTTTTTTCTTTCTTAGAATAAAAATGAATTTATATTGAGTAAAGTTTAAGATATTTCTTTAATATTGTTAGATTCTATTACACGCATTTATTTTAAAAGAAAGTGTGTTTTTCTTTTTTTTCTGCTTAACTTTCGAGGAGCGAGTATTGTAAATTTTCAACGTTCACTTTAAAATTAAATTCAGGATAAATTTAGAAAAGAATCGTGCAAATTAGTAATATTGTGAATAAAGTACTCTTCTCTACTCTCCAGATATAAACTATACATCCAGTGACGGCGTGTGTGAAGTTAGCACCCCAACTTTGAAATTCCGTAGTTCTGAATTGAGTTCCTCTTGATGAGACGAAGAGTTCTACGTATATAAGAACAAGAGTTACGCTAACTAACCATTTTTAAGCAATTTTCAAAAAATGGGGTGCTAACTTCTCATCGAATTTCGAGATCGAATAGTTCTGAGCGGCTTAATAGCTTCATTTTGTGATTGCCTACAGTTCCTAATACAAAAAAAATTTTCGAAAATTAAAAAAAAAAATTAAAAATTTTTTAAGAATTAATTTTTTTATACAATAGTTCTGATAATAGTTCCTGCTTCTTTGTAACAATACGAAGAGTTCTCTATAATTTTTAATGAGATATTCGTTTAATAACTATTTTTCAATAATTTTTAAAAAATGGGGTGTTAACTTCTCAACGAATTTCGAGATCGAATAGTTCTGAGCGGCTTAATAGCTTCATTTTGTGAATACCTAGAGTTCCTGATACATAAAAAACATTTTTGAAAAATAACTAAATTTTTTAAAAATATTAAAAAGTTTAGAGTTCCAGTAGTTCTGAGTAGCGTTTCTTATAGTTCTCGACGAGTTCTATCGAAAAGTATTAGGTCGAAAAACGATTGGACCAACGGTTTGCGAGATGCACTCATTAAAAGAATGCTTTTTCTTTTTACAAACGTCGCTATATCTTGCAAACCGTTCAATCGCTTTTTCACCTAATAATTTTTGATAGAACTCGTCAAGAACTATAAGAAACGCTACTCAGAACTACTGGAACTCTAAACTTTTTAATATTTTTAAAAAATTTAGTTATTTTTCAAAAATGTTTTTTATGTATCAGGAACTCTAAGTATTCACAAAATGAAGCTATTAAGCCGCTCAGAACTATTCGATTTCGAAATTAGTTGAGAAGTTAGCACCCCATTTTTTAAAAATTATTAAAAAATAGTTATTAAGCGAATATCTCATTAAAAATTATAGAGAACTCTTCGTATTGTTACAAGGAAGCAGGAATTATCATCAGAACTATTGTATAAAAAAATTAATTTTTCAAAAATTTTTAATTCTTTTTGGAATTTTCGAAAATTTTTTTTGTATCTGGAACTCTAGGCAATCGCAAAATGAAGCTATTAAGTCACTCAGAACTACGGAATTTCAAAGTTGGGGTACTAACTTCACACACGTCTAGTGACGTAACTACAAAAGGGCAAAGAGGACTGCGGCCCCGTGTCCAAGGTCGTTGCTTGAAATTTAATTTAATTTTTAGTTACATTATCCAATACTATTTGCCTTGATATAAATCGTTTCTAGTAGATCTCTACAACGAAAGATATGACTAACGCAAAAGTATTAAAAATGCTTATTTTAGCAATTTTAAGATTTTCTCAAAAACTGACATGATATGTCATTTTTACTGTCAATGCTAAATTTTATCAGAAATGACTTAATAAAACTTAAGGCAAAAAAGATCTTATTTCCACTCTGTTTCTATATATAATATAATACTCTGTTATTGTAGTAAGATTTAGGTGTCATACACGATCTATCTGTTTCTATCTATTTTTTTAATCAGAAACTTTTCTTTCTCTAAATTAACAACTATATATATTTATATTTTTGAAATATTTGTTTTCTCTGTGTTATTTCATATTTAAAAGGAATCTACATATATTTTGTATTGGTATATAATTGGATTTTTACTTTACGATATTTAAACAGTCTAATTATTATAAGGAAAATGTATTATAACTACTCTCTTCGATGACAGAATCTTCAAAAGGGTATGTTCTCGGATCCAAATTTTGAAGTTACGTCACTATATACATCAATATATCGATATATAGTGTGATACTGATATATTTTTCACTAAATATCATTTTTTAGTAACAGCAGTAAAAAAAAAGTTGTTTTTTTTTCAATAACAAAGCAATGTGATGCCTCTCTTCTTACAAAATTAAACTAATTCTTTTAAATTTAAATAGACGAAAGAAAAGTGAAATGGGATGAAACAAAGTTTGACATGATTGTTGAGACTCAAATTGACCGTATCATTTATTCTTACAAAACATCTACAAATTTCTTCTCACAAGAAAAGAACTTAAAAGTACGTTTAAAGGGTTTATAAAACTAAAAAGTTTCGTAAAGTAGTGACTGTGCAAACGCGGATTTTTGGTTTCTTCGACAATTAAATTTATTCTTTATTTCTCACTCTTATATAATTATATAATATAATTACGAATTATTGTGCGTATATTTAGAGCATTATTAATTCTGTTAGAAGTGTGATTTAGTTTTGAGAGTTTTTTTTTCAAAAACTGATTTATTTAAATAAGCTAATGTGAACGAATACCTTAATCAAAATATTTTCTTTCGTTTTGTATAATTTTTTCCTATCTTTCTGGCAAGAGATGGATTCCATGACGATAAAAAGATCCTTCTTTAGAACAGACAATCTGATGATTTCAACCAATTTTCGCGCAAGTGTGTATCCTCTAGAATCCATCGAACGGAACAAGTAAAAATCAGATATATAAATATAAAGGTAACGCTTGTTATATCTAAAAAAACAACAAATGATATTAAAATACGATATTAAAAACAAGCAACAAAGTAAAAGATGACAATATTTATCAAATTATTCCATAAATTTAAAAAAGAGAAACGTTTTGACTTTTACATACGTCTTTTTCAATCTCATAAATGGATGTGGAATCCATTTTCCTCCCTTGCGAATCTTTCTCATATCATGTAAATGTTTATCGATTCTTATGACTTAAAATCATCGAAATTTTTAATTAAAACTATTAGAATTTTATTTTTGAAACTATAGACTATCGACTTAAGCAAAAAAATTCGATTTTTTCAAACCTCCAATGTGACGTAATCCCTTAAGCAAGAATAACTGTGATTGGAATGTCTTTGACAACACTGGCATTAGTACCATCTCTTGCAAAACCTTCAAAACTAAATCATACTCCTAATCATTATGTAATAATACCTTTCGCAATTTTTTGGCATACTCGGAACTATGAATCTTCCATACTAATGTTAAACAGCAAACTGAACAGGAAAATTCCTCCGATTTCAGTGCTTATACAATCAGCTGTATGTTCATTTTACAACGAATACTCGATACTATACATATACAGGTGCTCCCAGATTAAACCTCCAAAATTAGGTTGGAATGAATTAGGGCTTTAAAACAAACAAAATTCTCCTGTAGAAATTTACTCGCAAACGTTTCGTTTAAGAAACATGGTACTTTTTTTTTTCATTGTCCTCCATTTTAATGACTGAACAACGTTAATAACGGGCAACTTTCTTCTTTACAACAAATAAAACCAAGACGTTCGACATTATTCATTCATTCCTAAGTTCTGTAATTTATAAGTCAATACTTTTTAAACGAAACGTTTATGAACAACATTTGCACAGTAAAATTTTGTTTATGTTCATGTTTGAGATCCTAAATTCATATTTTAAGTTTGATGGTTCATTCTGGAAACTTCTTGTATAATTCTCGATTTTTTGATACGATTACGCGTGTTTGCTACTTGTATAAATTAGCTCTATGCGTATTAAGTATAAAATACATTCCGATCTTACGTATCACCGACGTTAGCGGAGATATAGTCGACAGATCTGTACAAGCTCGATTTGATCAAATATATTTGGTTAATAAGCGTTGGTGAATCTTTTATATTCTTTATCTATCCTTTCGGAACGATAATAAAAGATAGCACGTGATCGAGAATAAAT